CGCCGTCGCCTGCTGACCACGTCGTGGTCCTCTTGCGCCTCGCGTCGATCGCTGAGGCGATCGTGGACTGAGGGGGCCTTGAGGCGATCATGCACCGAGGGCCGCTTCGAGATGTTCTCATGTCACCGAGACGCGGAGCTCTCGGCCTACTGTACCGCGGCGGTCTCGAGAAGGTCTCGGAGCTCGCCGTGGACCCGTCGCCCCTCCGTGGTAGAGGGCTCAGGCATCGCTCGCACTAGCATCGCCGCCGCCGCGACGTTCTAGCTAGCGCAATTGAAGATTGGGGGTTGCTCACTTGCTTCGTCGTTGTTGATGCGGTGGTGCACGTCGTGGGCCCTCTACCGGGCCCCTCCGCCATCACCGCGGCCTTGCTGCTCCTGCTCGAGAGTGTCTCGAAGCTGCTGCAGCAGGAGTCGATCTTGGTCGACTTTTGCCTGGAGCTCACGGAGTTGCTCCAGGTCTAGGCGTCGGTCATCCCCGGGGCCGATGTTCACGTTCCGCGCCACCCAGAACTCGACGAGCGGGGGTGTGGCGTCACCCGCCCCTTGGCGGAGTGGGGACCGGTTGCCCGCCCTCTCCCCCTCGTCACTTGTCCCTAGCATTCCGAGCCCGACATGGAAACACTCTCGAGTGGGATCGTAAGTGCTTTCGTCATCGGAGTCGGAGTGGCCGAAGCAGTAGTCGCTTGTGGCCAAGAAGCGGCGCATAGCCTCGGGGTCACCAAGCCCGGAGAAGTCCGCTCCGGCCCATGCCTCATCCTCCTCCGAGGAGTCAGTGTGGGTGTGGGTCGAGATTGTGGTGAAGTCGAGGGCAAATCGTTGGTGGTGTCCCGAGGGCTCCGCGTGCACGGACGTGTAGGCGAAAGTGTAGGCGGCGGCGATGTTTTTCAGCCCGAAGAGGTACGGGGATGGTGCCACCGCTGGGCTCCGCTCCGCCTGAGTCGATTCCTCAGAAAGCACTGGGGCAGAGCTTAACGACGGGACGTCGCTGCGCGCTACCGGCGTCTTTCCCCTGCCCAGGCTTAGGCTAGATAGGTCCCTAGCCAGGGACTCTGTACCAACAGCCAGGCATGGGATGTCGGCGGAGTGCGGCGCGTAGCCCTGAGTTCGCGTGGCGTCAGAGTACCCCATGTTTGGAGTTTGGTGTGCAAGAGTTAGATAGAGAGGTTTGGATAAGTATTTATCAATACATCTTAGTGTGTGTAGCTACACAACTGCACTATTTTACATGGAATACACAGTTGCATTGTTTTGACGGAAGAGTTTAGAAAGAGAAATTAGCTTGCAAAGAAAGAGAACAGGAGAAATTGTTAATGAGGCATTGTTATTTGACCATGTACTTGTGCAAGTTCTTCATTAACACTGCCTCATTTTGTGTTTCAATCGGAATGTGTCGGTGTTTCAGACCGGGGGTCCTCAACCAACCAGTAAATGTGAACTGCGTGCCCCTAGTTCCGGATGGTAATACAAAGAGACACAAGGTTTATACTGGTTCAGGCAATCGGCGCCCTACGTCCAGTCTAGGAGATCGATCTTGTATTCCTTGCACCGAAGTGCTTGTAGTAGGGGGTTACAAGCTAGACGAGAGAGGGAGCTAGTCCCAGGTCTCGGCGTGGAGTGGTGTGGGCTGCTTGAGTCGTTGCTCTCAGGCAGCGTGGGAGTGCGCGTGAATTGAGTGAGTGTGTTTTTGCGTGAGGGCTGGCGTGGTTTTTTTATCCCTAGAAACGGCCCTGGCTGCTTCCTTTTATAGCCACAAGGAGGGAGCCAGGAGTACATGAGAGAGCTACACGTGGAGTCTTAGCGAGAAAGGAGGATCCAGTACTGTGGCCTATTCCTGTAGCAACATAGTGTCGGGAATGGTAATTGATACTTGATCACTGGTGCGTTACGCAGGCCATGCCCGAGGCTGTTGAAGTCGTAAAGGTCCTTGTTGACGTCTAGTCAGTACGGCCTCCACTGTAGGTGACATGCCGTGCCTGGTGGACTCTTGTCCTGGTGGAGTGCCGAGGCCTAGCAGGTGCTGGAGCTGATCGTGCTGAGGCCTTCTTTGCCGAGGCCTCGGAGGTGACCTGTGTACGACGTAGGGGTCTCGGTGGTCTGTGTCATACCCGATTCCGGTGAAAAAGTGCGGAATGGGCATCCGCAGGGAGCCGTAGTCTCTGCACCATCAATAGGGGATGGTAAAAAGGTGATTTGACCGCCGTCCCATCGCCCTTTTTGCCATACCCTGCCGATCGTGGCTGACATAGGTGTAACTAGGGATACTTACACGGATGGGACGGCCCGCCAGAGGGGCAATCGAGGCGGAGGCGACGAGAATGCGGGACGAGCCCGGCCTCGGTCGAGGCGGAGAAGGAATGGCGCGTCCGAGGCCTTGCCGGGGGGTCTCGGACGAGGCAGAGACCGAGCAGCTGGGCTCTCTTGCTGTTTCCGAGGCTACAGGGACATGGACTCGACCTTCCATGCCGCTTTGTCCCTGGCGCAGGGGTTAGGTAGCACAGGGCAGTATAAGTGTCAGGAGGGAGCACAGTGGTGAGTATAGTGGCAGGTAACCTCTGCTGTGCCCGGTTCCTGTCCTGTCAGTTGTTCTGCCCGCACTGTACCTGCGTGCGGCTGACGTTTGCGGGAGTGGTTGGGTGCATTTAATCCGGACGTGATGTTTTGCCAGAGGAGTTTGGTCGGGACGAAGGTTAGGAGTACATCCGCCGAGCCCGGCCTCGAGCGAATCGGAGAATTAGAGATCCGTCTGAGGCCTTTCGGGGCGAGGCTTTGGCGAGAGGGTCTCGGCGGGACGTTTTAGGCCTGTTTCGCATGAGGCCTCGGCGCAAGGCCTCGGGCGAATCGAAGAATTCTGCCGAGACCTTGCAATAGTCTTTTGGCTTTGGTTTTAGCAAGGCTTAAGCAATATTCTTTGGATCTTGCTTAGGGTACCCCTTCTTGTGGTATCCGACATAATGACACCAAAACCTTCTTCCTTTTCCATTTGATGGCCATTGTTAATGCAGCCAAACGAAGTTTGAAGCAATGATGTCTGACCCTCTCCTAAGAGATGGAGCCAAATTACTTTGTGATAGAGTGAACCATAATTTATATTAAGTATCATTTTTATAGAATTCCATAATATACTCGCTAATATTGCCTCAATCTTTGAAATACTAGCATCAGAATAATGAGGAAATTATGAGTCTTTCGTGGAATGAAAGTGGGAAGCTCCTCTTATGTTGCACCAATAAAGGGTACATAGCCATCATCAGAGAACATATGGGAGCTTATGAGGTGAGTATTAGGATGTCATCTCTTGATTTGAAAGATACTTTAAGGTTGGTACATTTTTTTTACTCATGACTAATCTTCTTGTTTGGATTGGTGGAGGATGGACCCTAGATTAAATGGCACTACATGATCAATGCCTTTTACAGGATGGCGAAAGACATCACTCGAGGAACATTGGGTCTGTGGAATGTGGGCTGCAAGTGTGTGGACATAGATCCAAACAATATCTTAATTGACCATAAGAGGACTGCATATGTTACTTGTTTCAAAGACGATGCCATAATAAATAAATATATGACATCTGAAATATGGACCAACCCTTCCACAAAAACTAAAAAATCTGTTTCATGGAGTTTGAGATGCATTTTCTATGAAATGTTCATAGGCCACAGCTTATAATTAATTATTTGCTTTTTGTGAGGCCATAGCTTGTAAGTACCAATGGTGGTCATATTCTTATTATGTTACATAATTGAAATGCAGATAGAATGGAATAAATAAGGATGAAGTTATGAGTTTCATGAAGAAACGAGAACTTCCTCCCTTTTTAAAGGGCAAGTTTTCATCTCCTCAACTGGACAAGATTATTGGTTCTTGCCTTAAGTTTGAAGCTTCAGAAAGACCAACTTTAAGTGAACTACTACTTTCACTTTTTGAATGCCATGATGATGAAGGTGGGAGTCTTACATGGAGGTATGCCCCCGGTTAAGTGTGCATTGTCTCTTACTTGCTTGCTACTTGCTTAATAATCTTGATAAGTGTGAGCAGTTCTATAAATTGGACAAACCTTCCAAACAAGACCTTGCCAGAGAGGGAGGAAGAGTTGAATGCTTGTCTGTCAAATGACAATGTTGAAAAACTGAGGTTGGTCTTTAGCTACTTGTGTCTGTTGCATATATAGTGCTCTTGACAACTAATTTATCTGTATAGGGAGCTTCTACAAGTGCATATATAGCGCTCTTGACAACTAATTTATCTGTCTAGGGAGCTCCTACAAATAGCCAGAGAAGATGATGTGCTTGATATTCTAATAGCCAGAAAAGATCTGCATGGAAATAGCTTATTGCATTTAGCATGCAAACAAGGCTCACCCAACTGCACATAGGTAAAAAGAATAATCAAAGTCAAGCCACATTGACTAGTGTGGTATTGAGTGCATTTGATATTTGATTTCATTTTATTTCTTCCTAGGAATTACTAAATTTGGGAGCAGATCCAGAAGCTTTAGATGGAGATGGACAGAATTTGTTACTATGATGGCAAGTTAGAGGGATAGAGATGATTCTGTTGCCATTGACATAATGCAAAAGCATAAATTGGACATGGGCTTATTGAATCATAGGAAACAGACGTATGATTTTTTATCCTTGTGGCTTCTCCGTCTTTCTTTTTTCCTTTATTTTCTGTTAAACTTTATTACTCTTTTCTAGACCTTTGCACTTGTGGATCCAAGCCTTAAAATTGATCTCATAGTGGAGTGCGTCAATAGTACAACCAATCAAGACCACAAAAAGAAAACCATTGATACTCTTGGCTCTGCAGGGACTTCTTTGTGCATGGCCATGGCTGCTTCCTCTAATGAGATAGGTAATTTCTGCCTTTTTGGACTAAATGTGTTTGTTCTTTTTTAGATTAGATCAAAGGCACATAGCTACCAAATAAAAACAGCCATCCCCTTCCTCCCTTCTCAATCATAGCCACACCCCCTACTTTACCAAAACACTTAACTCAAGATAGAGCCACACCACTAAAACACAACTCATACATCTGCAACTTCCTCTTATAAGGCTTTTGTGACTTTCTCTTATAAGGCTTTTGTGACTGAGCTCTTGCTAGCAAACCCACCACCCCACAGCTGGTTTCTTTTACCCCACTTGGGCGCTGTGGGAACCCTCCCATGATCTTTGTAAGCATGTCCACATCTTCCACATGGTTAAAAAGCAAAGGAAAGAGGTGTTCCTCTCTAAAAAGGTCTCCTCTACACTATATTCATAGCAATATCACCACCTCGGATTTCTTGCATAGTCTAACGAAATGTCCTTTTCACAAATCCAACTTTATAATTGGGTGGTAAATGGTTTAACTAGTTCCTTCCTTGCTGAAAGCTAATAATTGGTTATATTTGATTTCAATTCCTGAGCAGCTATATTTTTATCTCCATCTTCCAAAGATACATACATTGGATTAGGAACCCCTCTTTTATGCCAAAGTAACTGTTCCATTGCATAAATATACTTTAATTTGCCATCTGCTGTTTCACCTTCAAAATTTGTGGATTTCACACTGCTATCTTATGCCACTAGTTCAAAATAGAGTTTTTAGAGTTTTCTGTTAGTCTGCTTACGCTTAACCCATTCCTTGAGGCTAAATGTATTCTCTCTAATAATCTAGTTCTTAAAACTTGACTGAAGCTACGAAGCTTACGAGTGTACTGCTCACTGCTGGTGCTGATCCTGAAATAGGAGATCAGAATGGTCTGACACCACTGCACACAGCTGTCATGGAGGATGATGTTGAATTGGCAAAAGTAACAATTACCCATTACTTTCTTATTCTACACTTATTCTACACCCTGGTGCATCTACACCCTTTTGGAATTACTACTCCACTAATGTTTACTCATGAGAAAGAAAATTAGTGACAATCTGAGTGTCTAACGTTCATATCAAGATGAGCAGATTTAGTAAACTTACTCCATGTTAGTAATTATTTACATGCTATTGGTATGTGTGTTTAAAATAAGCGCTATCATTGTCAATATTTCTTTTTGGTGATTACAGTTTCGTGATTTTGTATTAATTATTGTCTTTTTACACCTATATGTGGAAGCTAAAAGAAACCAAAATGGTACTTACTGCCATGTTTCTTTAGAGACAGCTGCCTTCTTGGGATTTAAATCCACTTGTCCTTGAGAGTCCAGCCACCAAAACTTTAAACAGAAATCATCCCTGCGTTCACATTAATTTCATACAAACTTCAATTGGAGAAAAACATAAAATAGAGAATTTAAACATTACATATCATATTGAACAGGAGTGTCAGACATTACCCAGCAGATACTGTTCTTCCATTTTGAGTACCAAAGCTAATAGCATTTACTCCTCCATGTTTATGATAGTTGCTACACAATATTGACCAGGGATTTAACTCAACGCAAACTTCACAGTTTATTTACTTAAATGTTGCTTTGAACTTACTTGTTTTTCTTGGAGTTAATAGATGCAAAGCCTCATGAATTTCCACACCCTCATTGCCATCTTTGACCCCATACATCTGTTGAGTTCAAAATTTTAGAGCTCAGAACAAATACATGAGTTAGAAACAATCTAATGTGCTAAGTTGAAGAGGATACATACTTGGATGCTATTAAAAGCTGCAACAGCAAACTTGTCGCTCCCTGGAGTCCACATTGCGCATGAGACCGGTTGATTTTTACCTATTGACATCCTAATACTCACCTCATAAGCTCCCATATGTTCTCTGATGATGGCTATGTACCCTTTATTGGTGCAACATAAGAGGAGCTTCCCACTTTCATTCCACGAAAGACTCATAATTTCCTCATTATTCTGATGCTAGTATTTCAAAGATTGAGGCAATATTAGCGAGTATATTATGGAATTCTATAAAAATGATACTTAATATAAATTATGGTTCACTCTATCACAAAGTAATTTGGCTCCATCTCTTAGGAGAGGGTCAAACATCAATGCTTCAAACTTCGTTTGGCTGCATTAATAATGGCCATCAAATGGAAAAGGAAGAAGGTTTTGGTGTCATTCAGATTGAAACACAAAACGAGGCAGTGTTAATGAAGAACTTGCACAAGTACATGGTCAAATAACAATGCCTCATTAACAATTTCTCCTGTTCTCTTTCTTTGCAAGCTAATTTCTCTTTCTAAACTCTTCCGTCAAAACAATGCAACCCGGTTCCATGTAAAATAGTGCAGCTGTGTAGCTACACACACTAAGATGTATTGATAACTACTTATCCAAACCTCTCTATCTAACTCTTGCACACCAAACTCCAAATAGTTTCTAACTTTTTTAATGAATTGGCGTATTTTATTGATCACTTTATTAAAAAAGCCACTTACATGAATTTCTGTCATGACTGAGAACTCCTCTTTGGCTTCATCATATAGCCATAATGTTACATGATTCCAGTCTCCCGCATTGAGTGCCAGAAAAATTGAGTGCCAGAAAAATTGAAAAAAAATAGTTCTCTAACACCATCCATTACCTTGGATGTCCACCGGGACTTGGTACATGACCACACAATTAGAGTGTCGTCTCCGGCTGAAGCAAGCATGTGTTCAGCCCCATTACATGGCTTGGGGTTCCAAGATAGTTTCCACACTTGGCCTTTGTGACCATTCAAAGAATCTTTATACTCCAATGAGCGAGACATCCAGATCCTGGGAAAGGATAGCACTCATATCACATTTGTGCCAACAGTTAGAAAAACCTACTTACCAATTAAATAAACAGTAAGAACTAATTTTTACCCTACATGAGCCACTACTTGGAAAGTTAGCAAGAAAAGGGAAATGGAGGGAATTAGGGAAACATACTAATAGTAGGGAGGTAGAACAGTGATGCCCACAACCATGCGTAAGTTGCACATAGTTCTTAAAAATGGAAATAAATGATTCATTCTAGATTTACTAACGATAACCCCTATGTTAGTTACAAGGTGAATGAATGATTCCTTATACTGTTATGAGGAAATAGGATAGCACGTGCAAGTTCAACAAAACGGCAACAATGCCCAAAATTAATTTGGTATCTCAATCCGTAAAAAATGCTGGTCAAGATTGTAAATTTGGCAAAACTAACTCAGAACGGCCATACTTATCTCTATAACTAAAACATTCGTAACTACACCCACAAGTGCAACACCAAAACCGCTCCATACGATCAAATTAGAAAGACAACACACACTCGCTCCATATGATTAACTCGATCCTATAATAGCCACAGTAAATTAGAAAGACAAAAATCAATTCCCATAACATACCCTACAGAAGTAAAAAAAAATGAAACGATCAATGGTCATCCATCCAAACGAGGACCACCATTCAATTCAACGGAACAAATAACTGGACTCACTTCTCATTCCGCGAAAAAATCATTTCAACCCAAGAAAGAACTGGACTTACTCTCATTCCGCAAAAATGGAGATCTCAGAACTACATCGAGAGGTAGCTAATCAGCTAGCTACACATCAAATGTCATCAGAGGAGGATTTGGAGGGCGAAGCAGAGCGCGACGACGGATCCGGCGGCGGCGGCGCGGGGCGCGGGCGAGGCGCTGGCGCCCTCCGGCGCGGACGCGGACCCGGCGGGGGGTCGGCGGCGGGGGGGGGGCGAGCGCGGCGAGGTCGGTGGCAGAGGGCTGGAGGTAGGTGCCGTTGGCCATGGGGACGTCGACCCAGAGCTTCTGGCCCTTGCGGCAGTGGCCCGGCGCGCCGCTGGCGTAGTAGGCGCGGCCCGGAGCGGTGAGGTTGAAGAACGAGTTGCCGTCGGCGAGCCTGGCCACGGGGCGCGACAGATCGCAGGACGCGAAGGCCTCCGGCGCCAGCTGCAGCACCGAGTCCTGGCTCGGCGGGTACAGGAACCCTGCGACCGCGAGTGAGGCAGATGGGGTGAGTGAGGCACTGAGGTGGCGGAGATGGACGGCGGTGGATGGGGTTGGTTTGCTTACAGATGGAGTCGCCGAGCGCGAAGTGGATGGACTTGGCCCAGCGCTTGTAGACGTCGGGCTTGGACGGCGGCGGCACGCCCCAGGCGTCCAGGTCGCCCACCTTGTACACGGCGCCGGCGCAGCCGCCCACCAGGAGCAGGAGGAGCAGCAGCACCGGCGACGATGCCAATGCCGCTCGTGCCTCGTGGGGTAAGCGGCTGCTTTGCTTGCCGAGCGCCGCTGTCCTCTGGGCTCTGGCTGCTGCTTTCCCTTTGTGTCCCTCTCCCTCTCTCTTGTTGTACCGCTGGTTTTGATTAACTATCTGCACAGGTTCAGTAAATTTGAATCCCCGTTCGTCTACTGGGGCGAGGAGGGGAGCCAGAAGAGACGAGGTTCGTCTGTAGCGGTCGACTCCATACTAGTACTACTAGGAAAAGGGAAGAGATGGAGGAGGGGATTAGGGAAACCTAGGAAAGCTTCTCACCTCTTTATCTGCCGAATCTTGATGGCGACGGTGAAGTTGTAGCAGTCGTCCGCCGTGATGACTTGTCCTAGCTCCTATTCCAGCGTCCTCCTGTGGCCGGCGCACAAGAGGCGGGCGGAGAGCAGCAGCAAGAGGTTAGAACAAACGGAGGAGAGCAGCAAGACTGCAAGAGGTTAGAACAAGCGGACGGAGAGAAGGAAACTGAGATGAATCTCACCACAAGCTGAAGAGGATTGTAAAGTGCAACGCACCGCGGCGCTCGCCGGAGAAAGGATGTGTATTTCCTTTTTTCCTGCATTATAGACGGTGCGGGTCTCGTGGTCGTGGGTGAGCAGAGCGGTGGAGAGCAGAGAATCTTTGACTGTAGGGGAGCTGCTCGGCGGGCTCCTTTTTTGCCGTAGTTGGGTCTGGAGGTGGAAGACGACCCTGATGCGGGCCCCATGTGTCAGCGTAACGTAAACAGAAAGCGGGGCATAGAGATACAGACAAAAAGAAACCGGGCAAAAATTTCGAATCATGACGCCGCGTAGACAGACTGTAATAGAAGCTGGGCTCTCTTGTCCATTCATAATGGGCTGGATGGCCTTGGGCCTGGCTAAGGGTCGGTCGGATGCAGGCCAGCCTGAGCCAGGATCCGTAGATGCACCCCGGCCTGTTTGGTTTGCTGGTTATGGGTGAGCCGAGCCAGGCTGGGCAGCGCTTGTGTTTGGTTGGCTGCAAGATAGTTTTCGCACCTGGTTGTGGCTACCTCGGCGCAAAGACTGGTGAGATTACCTCAAATGAGTTGGTGTTCAGTAAAGGTGAGCACTATGACCATTTGTTCCAGATAAACACCGCTACATGATTAGGAACGTTAAACTAATTATTATAGACATTATAATGCTACTATCATACCGCATACAACTTTGAAGGTGTAACTCTGCACAGAAAAGAAATCAGCAGATTAAACACTGCAGTCTGGACAAGAACCGATTAAGGACTTCTTGTCTTCTTCCCAAGATGGAATCAAGATGCGCAGGAAACACCGACGAGCTTCCATCCATCGCCGACTTCTTGTCTTCTTCACCATCTCGAACTTCACCGCCATGGCATGGATCTGCCTCTCCGTGCCGTGGGGTTGCAAGCGCAACAGCAGCAGCATGCATGCAGAGACGTGCGCAGCCTCTCCGACGATAGGGTTGAACTAGACAGAGGGCGAGGGAGAAGGACGACGAGGGTGCAGCAGAAGCAAGGACGGCGGGGGTAGGCGTACCAAGGAGAAAAAGCGGTGCCTCGACAATGACATGTGGACCTCAGGCTGCATCGCCCCAGCCTAGCGAAGCTCGATTCTTACGTTCCCACCGGGCCTGGCTGAGAGCAGTGGTCAGCCAACCAAACGCACGAGTTGGGCCTGGCCCACTACGCCAGATTCTTACAGCAGAAACGGAGGCATTTTTACTATAGGGGTGGCTGGGGTTGGGGGCCCCTACAAGAGGGCGCCTCGGCCCCAGCAGCCCGCCCGCCACTTTACAGATGTCATCAGAGGGGCGGGTAGAATTAAAGAGCCGCCCTACAGTTGGGGGCTGATCTCAGAGGCGGCTCAATCACCAACCGCCCGTAGAAGAGATGTCACCTTGTAGGGGCGGCTCAAAGAGCCAACCGCCCCTCTGATAGCTTAGGGCTGATCTCAGAAGGCGGCTCAATCACTGCACAATCCCCTGATTGCTTTGATCAGGGGTGTGGGGGATAGACCCCCGGGTACCACAAGATGGTACATGGGCCGCACCATCCGAGGTGGCTCGGCCCGTAAGATCAAGACGTGCACATCAAGATTATAAGTTGTACTAGATATTATAATAGTACCAAATTGGATACTTTACTTGTAACCTTGTCTCTTCGGAGTATATAAGGAGAGACAAGGGTCCCCTAGAGGACAGATCCATAGAGATCAGACAGCATACATCTCAATACAATACACCAAAGACACAGGACGTAGGGTATTACGTCGATCGACGGCCCGAACTCATCTAAATCATTGTCTCTGCGCCTTGTGTCACCATCGGTTTCGATCACATGCATCCTATCGATAATCTACCACCACGGGCACCCCCTCGGTGGATCGCCGACCATATTTAAATTCGACGGTGGCGGCGCCAGTAGGGGACCCTTTAGGGGATCGTCTTGTTACCGATCTCACGGCGAGCCAGATGGGATCTGAAGATCAATGCCATCCGTGGCAATTTAGCTTCTGGCGGCGGCGTCCTTCACCTACGATGGAGTCGTCGTCTTGAGGCTCTTGCAGTGGCTTGACGTCGCTGTGCGAACTCGTCGTTAAGTCGGCTATCTACGGCGTCGTCTCCGGCGTCGTATACCTGGGAAGCAAGCCGAGATTTCAACGAGATCGGGTCTGCTTCCCAGCTTCAGCAGCGTCATTGAAAGGGGCGTTCAGAATCTACTACCGCAGATTTGGCATCGGCCACTACTTCTACGAACCATGACGTCAGTTCATCGTAACCCTACAGGACTAGATTGGACTTGCATGTTGGTTGTTGCTGGCTACCAGTCCACCGCATGCATGAACGTTCGGGTGCAAGCTGTCAGCAAGCAAGAAATCGAAGGTCGTGTGATCTCTGATTGCCATGCAAGTGAAGATAGTTCAGATCTCCTTCGAGCTCACATGTGCTCATCACGGTCCATGAGCAACCGCCTCGTCTCGATCGTAAACCACTTCATCGGCGGCATCATCAAGCACCGATTGGGATCGACTCACTGCAAAGATGCAAGCCGGTCCGAACTTGGCTTCTTGCGTGTACATGTATATGTATCGCATGCGTGCATCGCTTCAGATCATGGGAAGATGCATGCGTGTATTACGACAAGATCCAACAACGTGCCGACGTTTGGGAAGGAGTACAAATCGCAGCGGCAACAATTCTCAAGATCAAGACCTCAACGTCATCATCATGGCTCCGACGCAAGCGCGACTACAACTACAACCCCACGCTACCGTCCGATCGCATCGAGCCACAAGCAAGCCATCCGGATCACGCCGACCACGGACCACGCCGACCACGCCCCGAGCAGCTCCGCCGAAAGCTCCGACCACGTCGACCACGCCCCGAGCAGCTCCGCCGAAGCTTCGACCACCTCGACCACAAGACTACGTCCCAATGATGATCGACGCGAAGAAACGGCGCTTACGACAATCGCGACCACGATCATGACGACAGTCAAAAAGCTCGAGGATCGGACAACTTCATCGCCAACGACACGTCAAGCCATCTCTCGAACATCGCAACACACCGACTACACCCACCGGTCGTCAATAAAGCTAAGTATTATTTTTAATTGAAAATTTCTTCGATCATCGTACACCTCCGCCGACCACCCTTAGGGTGCGCTCCGCGTCGAATTTTCTCCATACATACGATCCAAAACATGTATAAGTTTTTACAACGGTTCGCCGATACGTTTTCCTTTCGCTTGAGAATCCCGAGCCGCACCGCCTCCGGCTCCACCCCACGCGATGCATGAGAGTCCGCCCTCACGCCACGGGTAGTCGGCGATCGCTCCCGGTAACACTGGCACTCTACGCGGCGGCAGCTGCCCGCACCTCGCGCCACGAGATGTTGGTCGCCCTGTAGGTGGCGCATTCTTTAGGACAAAGTTAATACATCGCGCCACGCCTCTACATAACAAAAGGGCTAAAAACAGCTAATGTTATTTTTGAATATTACACCAAGTATAATTCATCGCCAACCTAACACCAAGTGTTTACTTCACCTCCTATAGAGAGGTCAATATATTTCGTACACCATCATGTACTACCGCTCTCCGTGTTTATTTTTCAGAACATAGTTCGGTCGTGAGCTCATGCTTGAGGTTCGCCAAGACCCCACGGTGCTCGAGGACTCGCCTGAGCCACGCTTCGTCCTCGGGGACTCGCCGAGACCACGCTCGTGCTCGGAGACTCGCCAGACCACTCCGTGCTCTGGGACTTCTCGCCAGACCACTCCGAGCTCCGACCATGTCGATCACATCTCGAGCAGCTCCGCTGAGCTCCGACCACGTCTCGGAGACTTCGTCGCTCGCTCCTCGACCTGTGCTCGGGGACTGCCTCGACCACGGCTCGGGGACTTCGTCGCTCGCTCCTCGACCTGTGCTCAGAGACTTCGTCGCTCGCTCCTCGACCTGTGCTCGGGGACTGCCTCGACCACGGCTCGGGGACTTCGCCGCCGCTCCTCGACCACTGTGCTCGGGGGCGCCCGACCACGGCTCGGGGACTTCGTCGCTCGCTCCTCGACTGTGCTCGGGGGCCGCCGCCGACCACGGCTCGAGGACTTCGTCGCCGCTCCTCGACTGGTTTTCGGGACGCGCCGACCACGGCTCGGGGACTTCGTCGCTCGCTCCTCGACACTGCTTTCAGAGACTTCGTCGCCGCGCTCCTCGACTGTGCTCGGGGCGCCGCCGACCACGGCTCGGGGACTTCGTCGCCGCCTCGACCACGGCTCGAGGACTTCGTCGCCTCTCCTCGACTGCGTGCTCGGGACCGCCGACCACGGCTCGGGACTTCGTCGCTCGCTCCTCGACCTATGCTCGAGGGACCGCCGACCACTCTCCACCACGGCTCGGGGACTTTGCGTCTCGACTACATGCGACGAAGCAACTCGACATTGGGCCAGATATTCTTTCTCATTTAGACCTTGCTAGGGCTCATACCTCGCCTTCCAAAGAAGCTCGGGGACTACATCGAGTACGATGTACTGCCGCAGTGCATCTCAGATCGCCTGTCTGACAGTTGGATTCTCAACATAACTGGGAATTCTTTTTAGACCCTGGCACCACGTGCCTACGTCACCTACTACCAGGCTCGGGGACTAAGTGGGCACACTTCACCTTACGGTGAATGTGCTTGTTTTTCGACCACTACGTCTCTAATGATCAAAGATGCTACGCTTCAAGACACACTTACATTTCTTTTCAGAAATACAAGTGGGCACACTTCTCGGGACGGAAATCTTTTTCTTTCTTCTTAAGAGCACCATACATTCTTCGGACAACCTCCTTCTCCGGCGACAACGGTGGTCGGAGACGTCAAGAACTCAAGCCTCACTGTTCGGAGAAGGTTGAAATGGCGTGTCGGATAGACCCTTGGGTACCACAAGATGGTACATGGGCCGCACCATCCGAGGTGGCCCGGCTCGTAAGATCAAGGCGTGCACATCAAGATTATAAGTTGTACTAGATATTATAATAGTACCAAATTGGATACTTTACTTGTAACCTTGTCTCTTCGGAGTATATAAGGAGAGACAAGGGTCCCCTAGAGGACAGATCCATAGAGATCAGACAGCATACATCTCAATACAATACACCAAAGACACAGGACGTAGGGTATTACGTCGATCAGACGGCCCGAACCTCGCTCTAAATCATTGCTCTCTGCGCCTTGTGTCACCATCTGGTTCCTGATCACATGCATCCTACCGATAATCTACCACCACGGGCACCCCCCTCGGTGGACTGCCGACCATATTTCGTCGACAAGGGGCGGCTGAATCACCAGCCGCCCCTACTGATGGGGCACGAATAAATAGCAGCCACCCCTTCTTCCACCTCGGGACACACTCTTCTACATAAAAAAAAGGTTGGGAGGCCTTGGGCTCCTCCTAAAAATTGCTCTACTAAGGGGGAGGTTTTGATCTCAAATCCTTTGGTGGAGAGGCTCTAAAAGGTAAGGAAATGCTTTTCCAACTCTTTATTTAAGTTTAATTCGTTGGTTAGTGAGTAATTTGATTTTAGGTTTTCTCTCTCTTCCATGGAGCTTGAGCTAGTTATGAGTGAAATTAGACCCTAATTTTCACTATACTAGGGTAAATTAGGTAGGAAAGTAAGATTGCACCCTTTATTAGTACATCTTTGTTGATTTTAGTGTAGTATTAGTGAAGTTTGGTGCATGTGTCATGAAACCCTATATCTAGATCTAGGATTTTGTTTTTTTTTCTTTTTCAATTTTTCCTTTATGTGACTAGGGTTTGCATGTAGGTGAATGTGTAAGATTTTAATTGTTGCTAATGTGTAAAATATCCTCTACCATGGCTACTAATTATCATTTAATATTTATTTTGATTCCTTTCTATAATGTGTGTTTTATGTGACTTGGATGTATGGTTCGTTAAGACACGACGCTCTTTTTCCGTGATGAGGTGGATAAATTCATCAAAGCCGAGAGAGAAGCATGCAAATGACGTTGAAAGAGAATAGCGACACGATTATTTGTCCCCCGCAAAGATTACAAGAACCTTATTGCATTTCGAGATGTGAGTACCATCAAAGAACATCTCGATTAGAAGAGGATTTGTTCGGACTATATAGTGTGGATTCATCATGGTGAAACAGTTGGTTGTTGATGACAATGACGATGATCTAGGTGATGAAGTTTGAAACCCAAGCATACTTGTCCCGATTCACATACGATCTTGAGCAACAAATGGATCGTGACTATGGTAATCAACAAGGTGGTGGCTTTGGCAATCAACAAGGTGGTGGCTTTGGCAATGAACAAGGTGGTGATGATGCTAGTGGTGCCGCAATGATGGCGAAGCACGTGGGGGGGATGATGATGACGGTGACAACTTAGACGAAATGCTTGGGGCCTTTGGACCGAAATATTAGAAAAGAGTAAGAGAGGTCTAGAAAATCTGAGAGGGTGACAAAAGTATCAAGAAGAGGCTGTGTATGATGATCTTTGAGAAGGGTTGTCCGACATATACTTCAGACTTTGGTACATTTTGTGCTTGAGCTACTCATCCGGAAACAACATATCATCGGAGTTGATGGCGTGGGACGATGTTGAAGCTTACAATAAGTGCAATGAGATGCCGCTATTCACAGGACTTTTATAAGAAGATCGAGGTTGTGAAAAAGAACCGCCCAAAGATGTATTGCCATGGAAATGAAAAGGTGTCAAGGGAAAGTTATCACGGTGGGCTAGCTAGTTTATGTAAGTGTGTCAAGGTGTTTATAAGACTACATTCATGTATGTGTATGTGAGACTACATTCATGTATGTAAGACTACATTTCAAATTGAAAATGCAACTTGAGACAACATTTTGGTTCCCCAAATGATTTCAATTTGAAAAAGTGATAAATACCAAAGTTGAATAACTCATCAAGATCTACAACTTTTGTATTGGTCATTTCTTCATATGACAAAGTGGTAACGATATTATTCACAAATGTGACATATCTCCCATAAGGTTTTATAAACTATATGAGACATGTGTAAGATTAGTGAATAATGTGCGCAAACCATTACACCACTCTATGAGTCCATAATCCATCTAGATTAAGCCGAAAGACTAAAGAGTAAAGCAACAAATAAGATAAAGATACCGATACATCATACATCAAACATCATACAAGCACCAATCTTCGCGGCATGAGTAGAAATAGCCAAGCTCATGGCTTCATGGGTCTCATGGAGTCATGGTCATGGATTCAAGATCTACAATCCTTATATAGGCCATTTTTTATTTGAGAAAGTTTGAACAAAATATAGTTCAAATTTCACAAGTGTGTGACATAGTTTTAGAAAGTCTATATGAGATTCAAGAATTTGTGACTAGTGTTTGATAAAACTTTCTCAAATGGAAAAATGAGCTATGTAACAATTGTAGATCTTGCTGAGATGATCAAACTTGGTATTCATAGTTTTTTCATCTGAGGTTATTTAGTGTCTCATTTGAGCAAGTTTGACCAAGTCAAATTTGGTCAAATGAATAACTCATCAAGATCTACAACTTTTGTATTGGTCATTTCTTCATATGACAAAGTGGTAACGACACTGTTCACAAATGTGACACATCTCTCATAAGTTTTTATAAACTATATGAGACATGTATAAGATTAGTGAACAATGTATGCTAAGAATTTATCAAATGAAGAAATAACCAAAATAAAAGTTGTAGATATTCATGAGTTGAACAACTTTGGTATTTGTCGCTTTTTATGTTGAAATCAATTTGGGTCTCAAATTTTGGTTCGAACGTGTCGTTTTTAAAAATTTCCAATTTGAAATGTTCAAATTTTGTCAAATGACAAGATGACTAAAATAAAAGTTGTAGATATTAATGAGTTGAACAACTTTAGTATTTATCACTTTTTATGTTGAAATCATTTTGGGTCTCAAATTTTGGTTCGAACTTGTCATTTTTTAAAATTTCAAATTTGAAAGGTTGAAATTTTGTCAAATGACAAGATGACCAAAATAAAAGTTGTAGATCTTGATGAGTTGAACAACTTTTGTATTCATCACTTTTACATATGAAATCATTTAGGGTTTGAAAATTTGGTTTGAACTTGTCAAATTTCATTTCCTTCATTCATTTCTTTCTTGCCCCCACTCCGTCGGATACAACAGCTCGCCAACCGCAGCCGTCCGATCCCCCAGAAAACCCTAACCCTAGCGAGCAGAGAAAAACCCTCGCTCTCCAATAAGTACTCTCCTCTCGCTGCCCCGCCGCCACTTCCTTTCTCCTCCCACCTCGGCGGCCGGCCTCCTCTTCTCTTCACCCACTCGTAGGTCACCGAGGTAAGCTTTTTTGCGCTTGACCTCCGCCCCCTTCCCAATCAGAGCCCACGCAGCAGCATCGCAGACGTGCTCGCGACTCGCCTCTCCCGGCGCGGATCTCGAGTTTTCGTTGGGCTCTCTCCCATGAGATGGCGGCGGCGGGAGGCGGCGCGATGGTGGTCTCGGAGTCAGGTCATATAAGCGCAAGCGGAGGAGCGATGGGCGTGGACAAGAAGGAGAAGGAGCTCATAAATAGGAAGAAGGCGCCGAGAGCCGCAAGATCATCTGCGCCGCGCCAAGCAAGACGCCCAGAGTACAACGCCTGTGTAAGCACGTTGTGTGCCCCCTTCTCGACCCCGCAGGTTCCTTCTTCTTCTCTTTGTGCTTAGCTAAATAGTTGCTATGATGATGTAGCGTCTGCGTTCAATCTGGCGAGTTGATTTTGTTTCATATAAGAATTGCATCCGTTTGAAATTGGTGTGCGCATAGCAGTGTTGGATCAAAATGGGATTGCTGCACTGCAATCGCCATGTTGATTGTGTCTGTTGATTTCGTGGAAGGAAAAAATAGTTGTCCTGACTTGATGAGGCCACTGTCCATGTGGGGAGAATAGCGTTTCTCTTATGATTATTTCATTAGAAAAGCTACTATTGAATGTTGCAATACTGGTTCAGTTGGAAAATAGGATAACATTGCCGTTGGGAAATAGGATGACATTGCCGATTAGTACTTGTTGGAGAATTCTGCTTTCTGTATTAATAAGGTAGGACCTTAGAGAATCTGTTGTGATCTTGCACTCTGTGCAGGAGAAGGAGCTTGTGCAGCTCAAGCGTGAGGCCCGGCTAAAGGGTGGGTTCTATGTGAGCCCAGAGGCCAAGCTTCTATTTGTGGTCCGCATCCGTGGGTATGGCTCTTGTCTCATTGGTTGTTGATTCTATTGCTACTTTCAAGTGTTGATTGTTGTCAAATGTGCTGTGTAGTATCAATGCCATGCACCCCAAGACCCGCAAGATCTTGCAGCTCCTTCGTTTGAGGCAGATCTTCAATGGTGTCTTCCTCAAGGTTAACAAGGCAACCATTAACATGCTCCGCAGGGTGGAGCCATATGTTGCATATGGGTAAGTTTGTATAAATTTAGCTGCCATGAGTGCATTTTGTATCAATTCCCACATGTGAATGTGATCCTTCCCATAAGCACAATAATGTCGCATCACTCATCAGAATTCACAAGAATTCATTCTTAGAAGGATAATTTTCTGCTAGAATTGCTATGCTGTATTTTTTTGAGCAAATTGCTATGCTGTATTATATCAATGTATATCATGAATTCTTACTAGAGGTGTAAGTGAAATTCTCATTAATTTATCTCTTTCACACGTTTATGTTGTTTATATTTAAATATGTTTGAAGAAATGTTTTATGTTTTTCTGTTCCGGAGGAAATAATAAATATTTGTACAATGCTATTGCTATGTTAGTTATTCTAGTTGCTTCTGGGTTGAAACAATGCAACATATGATAATTTAATTTGTTTAGCCAGTCTCCTTTGTTAACTCTGATCAGTAACTTTTGCATGGCGTAGATAAATTTTAGTAATCCAATATCAAATGATAGGGTTTTATCACATTGGTTGTGCCTAGATGGTAGGAACCGGTGGTTTCGCTTGAAATGTCGAGTAGATCACATTTTAAGTTCATATGACACTAGTGTTTGTCAAATACAAACTAGAATTGTAGTCCCGCATCTCGAGATGTATTTAAGGCTCAGATTTAGTAGTAATGAAATGAGCACCTAATGCCCGGAAAATGTTATGATTGATCTTAGTCCTAATCTGTGGAAATACGCGTGTGTAGTAGATTAACTATGTGATGAATTTAGTGAGAAACTATTGTTGTCTTGTTTCATTTTTGTAACATTATTGACATTGTGGTATTTTACACATGGTATGTCACTTTCTAGGGCAATGCTTATGTCAACTATTGTTCTCGCTTCTATTTTGATCTTTGTTTTCCTCTTTGAAGCACATCATGAATTTACTAGTTTTGTTGATTCTTTGTTATATAATTCTCATTACTCTTTGGTGGATTTGGATTGATGTGCTATGATTTGTGTTCTTTGAGCGAGTTTTCTCCATTTCTCTCTGTAAATGCCATGTCAAGAAGAAGGATATCGAAAGTTCTTGGGCCGGTATCTATGTCAACGACAAGGGTGTGATCGAGGAGGAGGAGTTGTTGAGCGACAAAGTAGCAAAAATGCTCGGAGATGATCCGAAGTGCTACATCACTCGCCATGTTGCTATTATCATTTGGGTTGCAATTTTCTCGAGACTGAATTTTGTACTTGATTAGGATGTGTTATCCTACATATTGTAAATCTCTGTTTAAGAATATGAACCTTGTTTCTCATTCCCTAAAGATAGTTGACTATCAATTTGTGATGATGTTCTAAATAATGGTCTTGTGTTTGTGGATGTATATATGTATATTTGTGGCGATTGATTGAATTTGAATTATATATATATATATGGTCGATTTGAATTTGAATTATTTTTTTTTCTTTGAAAAAATCCATTGTAAGGGGCGGTTCTTGATTAAACCGCCTTACAAATACACATAGTAGGGGCTGATGATCTGGCCCGCCCTTACAGAAGTCCACTCATGTGGGTGGTGATATTAATGGCCGCCTCACAGAGGTCACTTGTGAGGGGCGGCTGAAAACACCACCGCCTCTACAGAGGCACTCGCAGGGCGGCTAAAACATCACCACCCCCTACAGAGGCACTGCAGGACGGTTAGAAACCGCCCCTGAGGCACCCTCTGAGGAACACCACAGGGAAGGCGGTGGCGCGGCCCGCCTCTGAGAGACTCTAGAGCCGCCCCTACAGTTAAATTCTGTAGTAGTGGCCGGGGGGTTGAGCCAGCCGACCAATCACGCCCTGTCGGATTGTACTCAATAATTTTTTAGAAAACGGAGTTTCTTATTTCCACCCTCTACACTTCCAGACTCGGAGACTTTGCCAAATGTAAGCAACTTTACCGAGTGTAGGCAAAATTGTCCAAAGTCTTTGCTCAAAACTTGTCTCAGGATTCTGCTTTTGGAGCTCCAGGGTCGATGGTTGTTCCAGCAAGCATCGGCTGCATTGTTCACCTGAAGAAACACTAAGTAACTTAAGATTATAATAATCATCACTAAATAACTAAAATGATAATCATTTATGGCTAATAACATCTGATTATAATTTATTTTTTGCTAGAAATCCTTAATAACCACTAATCATAAGTAACTAGGGGAGTTGACAGAAGCTAGCGGGATGGCGTGGTTCAGTCTTTTTTCTTGAATGGGATGGTGCATCTTGATGGCATATTCTCAGAATTTGTATCATCTCATTCTGAACGAAATGGTTCAGTTCAGCCAACCAAACAACACGATAGGGGCATATCCAGGATCATCTCATACATGCACTACCTAAATCCCCGTAACAGTGCATCTGAAGCTGCTTGCACTAGAAAACTCGGTATACACACCAAGATGTCGAGCTTCCTGAACTTGGCCTTGATGAACTCAACTAGCTGCATGATGCTCGACCGATCCGCGACGTCCAAACGATGGAAGATCACGTCGGAGAGGCCGGACTTCTGAAGCTCCTCCACGCACTTGGGACTCTGGTGTTAGATTGATCTCCAACCGACTCGGTCCAACGACCGAGTCTAACATTGACTCGCGTCCTGATCGGGGGCGCCCAGCCGTACTCCTGGCTGGTGGGCCCCTGTTGCACAGTGCCTATAAAAAGGAGGTGGGGGCCAAGGGCTCAGGATACGAGGTTCGCTGCCGCCAATAACCCCACGGAGAAACCCTAATCGATCAGGGAGGCGCTGCTAGCGACGGGAAGCTCCACCGGCATCGCCACTGCCTCCTCGCCACCGACACCGACGCCACTGCCATTTCATCTCCATGGCGAGCTCCTCCACCAACCAGGATGGTCGGTAACATCTCTCTCTCTCGGTTTGTGCTCTATGATGTTCTACTGGTTTTATCCCAAATGGAAGAATTGTACCCGCTAGATCTACACTTAGAGGTCCTAAAGAAGCTATCAATGGTATCAGAGCCAGGTTTTGGCGTAGATCTAGGCAGGGGTAGAATTTAGAAGAAGCTGATTCATTTCGGATGAAATCCTAACCCTTAAAATCCCGATCCCGAACGAACCCAACCCTAGCACTCTAATGGGAAGAGACGGAGAAAGGGGGCTCTCACCGGGGTTTCTCCGCCACTGTCACCACCGCCGCCAAGAGAACAAGACCAGCGTTGCCGCTTGGCAGCAGGAAGAGAGAACCACCGCCATCATCATTTGTCGTATGGGCTCGGCCTACTGCCGGCAATGGGCACTGCCGCTAGACCGCTCAACGGCGGCGCGTTCACCTTACGGTGAGCGCGCACACCGGCGAGGGGACCGGCGGCGGCGCCGCCATCTTCCTTCGGCCATCGCACTGAGAGGGGGAGAGCAATGCTGAGAAAGGAAGGAGAAAGGAAAGAAGTGGAGATGCCGACTGGGACTAGACTGGCGGCGCCAGCCCCTCAGTCACCGGCAGCCACCGCAGCTGCCGTCGCTGTCGTCTGCGGCGTTGAGGAAAGAAGGGAAAGGGAGAATGGCTAGGGTTCGGGGAGGCAACGCCGTCGCGCCGTTTTGATCGGCCGAGAACGCCGGCCAGCCATCTGATTGAGATCGATGGCTGACGGCAGCCAGGCCGCCTTTCGGCCTAGGCGGGAGGGCGCTTTCCCGGCCCAGGCCTAGGTTGCGTCCTGGGCGCGGGGAACGCGGCGCGCGCGCCTCTGCTGATTGGTCGGCCCGCTTCGCCAAGAGCCTTCGGGCCAAATTCAAGAAGACATATTTTTTTGTCCTATTATTTCAGAAGCAATTTTTATGAATCAAGATGTATTTTGATGTTTAAATCTGTGTCAAAATTTGAACCAACGGAACAATTTTTGCAAGAGAGTAGCACAGTAACATGCTTCTAAAAAGTAGATAAATTTATTTTTAAGTTTTCCGCTGCAAAGTTAATGTTTATCATCTTCCAATTAAATTCGAACCAATAGGAGGATTTAATTTGAAGAGTAGCTAAATTTATTTAGTAAATTATGATTATGTTGATCCTCTAATTAAATTGGAACCAACGGAAAAATTTAATTAGAGGCGTAGTCATATTTATGTTAAGTTAATTATGGTATTGTTATTTTCTGAACAACGTTGATGATAACAATATTATAATTTTATTTATGAGATTAAGTTTGAAGTTTAAATCTCTGATAAATTTTGCACCAACGTGATTAAATTTTCAGAGAGTAGATAAGGATCAAGAAATGCTTCTAAACTAGTAGAATGTATTTTATTCTCATGTTTCGCTGGAATTATGTTGATTATATTCTAATTAAATTTGAACTAACGAAAGAATTTAATTTTGAAGAGTAGCTATATGTGGTTTTCAAGTTAAGAAAAATATTATAGGATTATTCATGAGTTTTTCCATATATTAATTCCATTTTTGCTCAACGGTGATGTGGAATTAATGTAGAAGAATGATGTTTTATTCTATTTTCTGCCCAACGGTGATATAGAATATGCTCATTACTGTTTGATATTTTTTGAGAAAGATCTCCCTGCTTTCATTCTTGAAGGCAAAAAAGAAAATAAGATGGGTACTTGTGACTCAGATGATGAAAAACCTAAGTGCAAGTTCTGTAAGAAAGAAGGCCATTGCATGAGGGACTATGTTCTCTTTAAAGAATGTCTTGAAAAGAAAGGAATTCATGGATATAATTAAGCCAAGAAGAGGTGACCAAGCAATAAGAGTCACAAATAGTGTCGAAGTTGATATGGAAGATGTTGACCAAGCAATAAGAGCTTCACACTTAGTTTAAGAAATGTCTTTTATGTACTATCTATGAAGAAGAATTTAATTACAGTTTCAGTCATTATGATAAGATATGTAATAAGTCAAATGCATGTTTAATTTGACCAACGTTGGATTAAGCATATATGTTACACAATATTCGAATTTATTTCTGAATCTGATGGATTGAATGTTCAAACACTTCCGATGTCCTGAGAGCTAATTATAGTATTTATGTCCCTTATAGAGAATTATTCCGCATTGCGGGAGAAGTTTTGTCATAGCATTCATGTTGTATCGCGGGAGAAGTTCGTGATGTCTCATGTGTTTAGTATATCCCGCACGGCGAGAGAAGTTTAGGGTAGCTCTTATACTGCCTTAGTACTGACCGTGTGATTATATTGTATCATGGACATTAAGCACTCAATGAGTTTAAGAACAAAGGAAGTTTCATATGAATCAAAAGATAAGAAAACATGCGAGCATGACTTGCAGAAGTATTGCTAAAGACTTTGTTAAGTTCTCGAAGTGGAATGAGGAAAGTGTACTTCCATATGAATTAAGAAATAACTTTGTTTGCATGATATATTCATGTAAATGAAGTAAGTCATAAATGTCTCCTCATCCACAAGAGTTTTGAATAGTTTTCAAAATTATGACAACAAAGTTTATACCACATTTCGAGGGGGAGAATTGTGAGATCAATTAAGAAAGAGAATTAAGAAAGATACTCCCCTATACTTCAGATATTGCAATGCATAGTGTGCATTGAGGGCAAGAGCGATCTATAAAAGATAAATGTGATCGTTGAGTGAGTACAACGGTCATAATAGCGATACCCCTAAGTAGAGCAATAGCTAAATTCCTAGACCTTTTATAGTTTCAATAGGAAGATAGCGTAGTCAGCCAGTATTCATACTGGACGAGCCTTAGAGATATTAAGACGGTGCTTAAAGTGCCATATGAGTTTTTTAATAGATTAAACCCAAATAAGAAATTTAAAGATACACTATATTTATAGAAGATGGAATAATCTAGGGGAGCATAGTATGCAGAGACCTAAGACTTGAAGAGAAGTGGGACTGCACGTCCACTCTAGTGATTCAAGAGCAACAAATACTTGTTGATGCTGTATGACTTATACAACACCTGTTGTTAGCTCATCAAAGAAGATGAAAAATGTAAATAGTGATCTTGTTATACAGGAGCAAGTAGAATCAATTGTCTTTTGGCAATGAAGAGCAACGACAGCTCAATATGAAAGAAGTGTCAATAGCTGAGCCCACATAAGGTCTCAAAGAATTAGAAAATCAGTTATTTTTTATGACTATAAAGACTATGTTAGTGAAGAATATGCTAGTCAAAGAATATGTTAGTGAAGAATTTCGAGTGATCCCATCTCATTTGAAGAAGCAACAAATTTTCATTTGATAGATCTTTCTACCTCCTTACGACGATTAAGGGCCTGTTTGATTCTAGGCAGTAAGATCTTCGCATCCTTACTTTTTTCATCCATAAGGACATCCTGCAACAACCTTATTATCATCATACCACTATTGGATAGCCGACGAACCTCGAGTACGGAGTAGTTGAGTACAAGGTCTTTGATTCACACACTTGCCATTCTAAAATCGAATCCGTAACCCATTCGACTTTGGCGAGTATATATAGCCTTCTCTCGCCATCCTATCAAACATCAGTTTTCGGCTCAAGGACAAGACAAAGTTATTAGCAAGTGCTACCAGCCAGCCATTCAGGGGTGTATGACCCTGATACCCCGTCAAACACTCGTTTCTGGGCTGACCGATCTGCTAGAGTATTTCTTTTGGGCTTGCTCGATCGAGCTCCGGTCTCCCGCAAAGGCTACGTCGAGCAAGCGTGAATTCTTGGCTGTTTGGACTCATATATGGGCTTGCGGAACGGCGACTGTGGACCACCTGGGCTACTTTTTGCGTTGTTTCTTCCACATTCCCTGTTGATGAACGTCAAATGCCTCCCGACAAAAGCAACAATTCCAAATACCTTTTGACTTTGTGCTCAAAATTCAGTTTCTGCACTTTGCATTTCGTGATATAATAATAGTATCTCATCTAGTTTTTTTTATACAATAAATATAACACAATATACAAGCGTACATGCGACTCCGTATTAGTATACATAATAATAATTTTTATTACGAAATGTAGTAGTCAAGTCATTCAGAGCCTGAAAAGGGTGCGAGCACGATCTCTACTCTCTAGCTAGTGGCCAAAGCAGTCGACGAGGATGGACAGAGCCATCTCGGCGGTGAGACGACCCGGCGACGGCGACGGCGACGGTGCGGCGGCTGCAGCAAGAAGCGCATCATCAGCATCGCCAGGCGAGCCGGAGCCGCCCGTTCCAGAGCCGATTGGATGACGACGACTCACAGCCGCCGCAGCAGACTCCGACGAGCCATAACGCGGCGGTGGCCCGGCCGCCCGTACGACGCCGCCGCCTGCTCGCTCGTTCGCCACCGCCGCCGCAGGGACCGGGCGGCCGAGGGCATGCATCAGGATCGCTCGCCGTCCCTGCAGCCCGATCCTCCTCTCCGTCGCCGCCGACCAGCTGCCGGGCAGCTCGCTCAACGACATCGCCGCGCGCGCCGGCCGGGCGACGATCGAGTACTGGTGGCCGAGAAGACGACGGACGACGCGGAGTTTGTTTGGCTCCCTCGATCTGGTGGGTGGGTGCAGCTAGAGTGCAGACTGCTTGGTCTTGGATGTCTCCGTGCCGTGGTGTGAGTGAGTACTTTATAGCAGTGGCGGTGTGGCCGGTGTGGTCGGCGCACCCCGTGGGGAAACCAGGGCCACATGCCCGCCCCTGGAACGGAGACGACGCACGGGCACGGCTGCGGTTTTTTGGGGCCAGACCACACAGCTTCTGCGAAGTTTCGGCGCCGGGCCAACAACGCCGAGTGTCCGCGTCGCAAACACGTGATGTTGGAAAAAAGCACTGGCCAGCGGCGTGCTGGCGTGCTTGTCAATCCCGTTCCAGAAACTACGAGGCTACGACCCACTTCAATTTCCTGGGGTGCAACGATGTTGCAGGCACGTAGACTGAGCTAGTATAACAAGGCAACAACAAGGCAACAACTATGGGAAATTTTAATCCCGTTGGTGTGCTGGTCGCTCTGGAAACACGTACGGCTGCCTCCACTATGCCTGACAAAGCACTGCGATATGATGGGGTCCCATAATCCACACCTTTCCCCAGCAGCCAACAGTGTACAGTGTGGCGTGAACTGGCCTGGGCCTGGGCCTGTAGGCTAGAGCGTAATGAAATGTTCCTTTTGGCCCAACAAATATTATTTTTGGCATTTTCTATTTTTTATTTATGGGACTTTGCTTGTAGCCTTTAGTACTCTCTCAGTTCAAAAAAAAATGTCGTTATAACTCTTGGATTTAATCACACGTCGGTAATTGATAGTGGAGGAGCATAACATTTTTTTATAAACTTAGAAAGATGGACGGCCTAGATTGCTTCATGGTTGATGTTTCTTTCCTTTTAGGCCCGTTTGGATCCTTGGTATTGAATTCATTGTATAAACTATAGTTGTGGAAGAAGAATCTTTAGAATCCGTTAAGTAAAGTCTACAGCTTTACTAAGTTGGAGAAGAAGAATCCATATAATCCATTTCTCATCTTCCACCCTATGAATTTAAGATAGGATTATACGTGAACTTTAGAAAGTTGTGCAATCTCAAATTCTAAGCCAAATAGCCTAATTTCTTAAGTAGATTCCACTCCCTCCAAAATGAAGGGATCCAAACGGGCGGGCTTCTCTAGTGGTTTTTCGAAAGCGACTCATAAGAATATTTTAATTACATAACTACATCAAACCTTTAGTGTGTCAGGACTCAGGAACCGACCGCAAAACATGAGCTAATTTTCATACCGATTCAAATAGTATTCATGTAGAAAGAAGACGAGGAGAGAAGGGATGGAAATCACTGGTTCTCTTTTGCATGTGTCCTGCTCACCAGAAGAAAACAATTTTTTATTTGATTGGCCCACGGGAAGAGTTGACCGACCACTGGAGATTATTGGAATCGACTCACTGCCGCAGCTTACGTGGTCTTCTCTCTCCTCAAAAAATCGACTCACCACTGCGGATGCCCTTAGTCGCCTGCTCTACCTGGCAGATTTCACAGCTCTTTCTATTTTCTCCGTTCAATATCATGGACTGATTTGACTGTTTAAATTGTGGTTGTAGAGCACGTGAAGTATTTCCTTTGGAAGACCACGGAATTCCCCCTGTCAAACAAATCCAAATTCCCGCATGCTCTTTTCCTCAACAAGATTTCTGCGGAATATGGTTTGGGCACAAGGAGAATCCAAGTCGATACGAAAGTCTTGCAGCAAGAGATTAAAGTTGCACTTTGCAGTAGGTCGAGGGCTGACTTATGACAAGCAATGGCGCCAACATGTGATTTTTTTTTAAAAGCACTCATACAAGCATGTAAATGTACTTTGATTTTTTTTTTGAAAAACAAGCACTCGTACAGGCACCTCTACCTCTATTTTGTTTTTGATCATCTCTGTAGACCACGTCAGTATTAGTGGTAAGACCGAGAGTAAAAGAATATGACTCTTGCTAGTATTAGTGGTAAGACCTCTCGCTGGGAGAATGAAACCATTAGATTAGTGGAGAGAAGAAAGAAAGCCCGGTCAAGCTTTAATTTAACTGATATAAATAAGTAGAAGTTATGACAACATTTAAATTCAAGCGAGAAATGGCGTAACCACAATCTCAAAGTTCACAAAAGCAACAGAACCATACGGTTACAAAAAGGTTTCACTTTTTATTCCCAAGTAATTCCATTACATGATCACTTGATCAGCTGGTCATATATGCATCACTCAAACCGAGATCAAGTGATGTGCTGTACCTCCATAAGTTCCTAATGTAGAATTATAGTAGTACTTCCTAATTTTAAGGCCAACAAAACACAAACTATTGACATATAATTTAAGACCTTCATGCTATGGGTTTGCTCCTCTTCACTGGAAACAGAGCATTTGATCCAAATTATATCCCCCAGTATATCTGTACTTGTATTTTTCTGACAGATTTGCTCTCTTTTTTGAGTAAGTATTCCAACCTTTCTTCTATTTCCCTACAAGATTCCATTTCCGGTCTTCTCTGTCCCTATTCCCGTTATCTCTCCAGGAGTACAGGTTACATGGTTTAGAATTTCAGGTGCAGCAGTGGTACACTGGTTCTACTAACTGACTTTCCTTTTTCTTTCTGAACCCAGTCCAAGATCAATCCTCGTAGCCGAACGGGCGCATGTGCAGCCCATAAGTCGAGCAAGTGAGAGATCATACGTGTCCGATGCTGCAGATCCTGATCCTTTCGTTGCACCAGTTTCTCACCGCCGTGCGCCACAACATGGCAGCCCTCAGTGGGGCGAAGGACAACGCGAGGTTTACCGTGCGCCGCGACACGCATGGAGTTATGGATGAAAACGGATCGGATATCTCCGATATTGTATTTGTTTTTATATTTCTATTCAGAGTCGGATTCGGACACGGATAGCTACCGGATACATATACGAATACAGATTGTCTCGGTTACAGATACAAATAATGAGTATCAAATACGGTATGAATCGGATTCGAAGAATGTCGGATATTGAGTAAAAGCAACATTTATAGATATCATAGGTGTGCAAACCATTACACCATTATATGAGTCTAGAATCCATCTAAATTAAGCCTAAAGAGTAAAACAACAAATAAAAGACTGGATTTGGGCGGCCACACGGAGAAAGCTAGCGGCAAGTCAGCGCTGTTGTCTGCACTCCGCGACGCAAGGAATCGAATTTGTACCACCTTGCTAGCAAAGCAAAGCACCCATGCCCAGGTATACAATAAAAAGTAGGAGGGATGGGGGTTGTCCAAGCTCCAAAGGCACGTAGCCTTGTAGCCTTGTCTTGTGAAGAGGAAATATGAAATTTTAAAATTAATTAAAAATTAATTAAAATGTATATTAGTTGGCTGTGGTTTTGGTGCTGATTGACCTGTGCCAAAGGTTGTAACAGCGGCAGACTGGATGCTCCCGTGCTTGCAGTCTTGCACATACACCCAACAATCGTGAGCGTGGCTAGCGGCCTGGACTGCTGAACGGATAATATCCGGTCGGATTATCCGATGTCCGTCGGATATTGGTAATATTATATTCGTATTCGATATCCATATAAAGCATCTGTTTTTATATCCGTATCCGAAAAAAATCTGGATATCTAAGTAATTATCTAGATTAACGTTCATATTCATTCGGTCGAACGCCGTATCCAAAAAAAAAATCTGGATATCCAAGTAACTATCTAGATTAGCGTTCATATTCATCCGGTCGAACAGACGATCGGATAAATATCCGTACCATTTTCATTCCTATGTGGAGGTATGCAGCTACATACTCTGACCCATCGTCCAAGCAATCATCTGGCATGAAATGTATCGTTGTCTGATTGAGCGTGCGTGCCGAATGAACGAAATGTGGCAGGTTACGTGTTGGTGGCGAAGGCTGCGGTGGTGCCGGAGCTGACCTGCACCAAGGTGCACGGAGTACAGGCAGGCGAGACGTGCTTTTCCGTGGGGCTGACCCAGGACGTGTTCCTCGGCTTCAACCCCAACATCAATTGCGAGAAGATATTCGTCGGCCAGTGGGTCTGCCTTCAAGCCACATCTGCTTGAGTGCTTGCATGCCTGGCTTAATTTGCGCTGCCCCCTGATCCCTGCATCGCGACGATGAGTTGTGCTATGGTGGTTTCGTTCTCTGTTATGTTCCCTACATGTATGAGCCAAGTTTTTTTCCCTCGAATGATGTATGAGCGAAGTTAGGTATGTTGTCTGTCGCACTTTTTAGTATTCTGTAGTGATGCGTGTCATCCTGCCCCTGCAACACATTTTCCAGGAAAAAAATGATTTCACGGCCGGTTTGCTCTCATGTACTACTCATGTGTTCAATATGTGTCGTGCGTTCGTGTGCTCTTCATTTCATCCATCAGGTGGCCAATTCTTGTGCTCCGCGGCCAGATCTTCGTGGCCACGTGGTGGGGGTCTGCCTGCACCCCCTTCTCTCCCCTGCTCTGGCCGGCCATGGCTCGCTATTGGCCGGCCTCGGTCGGATCCTGCAAGGGTTGGCCGGTTCGATGGGGGTTGGCCTGGGCTCTGGTGGGCTATGGTGGCCGATGGCCAGAGCCATCTGGGGGTGGCCAAATCTGGTTGTTGGGGCCAAATCCGTGGGTCCGGCGATTGGGGCTGTGGGGAGGGCGGATGTTGTCAGGCTAGGTGGCCAGGGCTTCTACCTTCCCTTACCCGACCCCCTCTTTCTCCCTGTCATCTTTCTTTCCCTTGTTGCTGGCCAGTTCGGCTTGCTGCTAGCTGGCTTCGGCTGGTTATGGTGCGTGGCGGCTCAGGTCGGCGGACAACCCCTTGGCTCTCTGTACCCTGTCTTTGTGATGGGTCAGGGGAGTCGTCCAGGGGCTGCGCTGCTACGAGGCTGCTCGCGGTGGCGTCGGTGTTGGCGGGGATGTCCGCGTTCGTCACTAGCACCTTCCTTCGTGAATGGTGGGTGGGTGTGAGAG